TTTCGTCATGATTCAAAAATGGTAGTTGCTTTTTAAGTATAACACTTTAAATTGTTGCCATGCTTTGCCATCTTTCAGTTGGATTTATCTTTTATTTGTTTCATCAGTTTTAGTACAGCTCTCGTTCTTTACTTTAAATGGTTTTATTCTCGCAAACTGTGCTTCCTGTGTTATTTTTGCAGAGCTGGCTTTTTGATGGTTTTATTTACGGTAGACTCTTTTTTTTTTTTGCCTCTCACCTAACCCCAGATCACATGCCAGATGTTCATCTCTGATGTCAGGGAATTCACCTTTGCTGTTTTTTTATTTTCATTGTCAGGTTCTCGTCATTTCCTTCTCGTCAGTCCTGGCCTTTCTCTAAACCAGTAAAGGTTCTGCCATGTTTCGATCCTTCTGCTTCTACTGCGCCTTTGTTTTTGTAGCAGTTTTGTTTCTTTAACTTTTTGTTACAACCTGTGTAGTTCTTGCTTCATAGTACTGCATTTGAGTCCTGTTCAGTGGCAAATAGTGACAACTTGAGAGTGTTTGGTAGTTTATTTCTTTTTTGTAACAGTGGTTCTTGACAAAAAAAATCTTATAGCAGCACCAGATTGGTACACCTGGGGGTACCAGAACAAAAAGAGAGTCAACAGCAAAGTAAACTGTTTGGCAGAGAAGATTTGGCAATTTTTTCATGTGAACTCCACATACTCATCTCTACTGCTCATCCCACAAATGCCTGTTCCTTACAAATGTGGCACCATTTAAAATGAAACTGAACAGACTTTTCAATGGTGTAAGATTCCAGGAGTATTATAATTACAAAGAAATACTCTACCACAAAATAATGTCCTTACTTTTTAAGCTAATTTACAGCTCACCTTACTCTTCTATTTGGGTGGTTCCAGTTCACTTCAAACTCAGGTCCTCTACCAGAAGCCTGGGACCCTGAGGGTTCAGTTCAGTATCTTAACTGGTCCTAGGACTGAGCTTTTCCTGCCAGAAATCTTTGAGGTTGTTCGTGGTATCTGTTGGAGCCAGTCTTCTAGTTTGGGGGTCACAATACTGAGTGCTCTGATGACCAGTGGGACTACACACACTTTGACTCTCCACAATGTCTCTATCTCCTCTTTCAGCCCGAGCTTCTTGTGTTCCTCCTCCCTGATGTTACAGTCACTTATGATTATGTCATCTATCACCACAGCCTTCTTCTCTTGCTTGTCAACCACCAGAGTGTCCAGATGGTTAGCCATCACCTGTTTGTTGGTCTGGATCATCAAGTCAGAAGTATTTCAGCCCATCCATTTTCCAACACCCTTGATGGGGTCTCACACTTTGACTCTGGAACCTCCAGTCCATTTGGCATAGATGGTCCCGTATGTTATTCCAGCTACTTGGTTATGGCACTCCATGTATGCTTTGCCTGCCTACATCTTAGGTGTTACAGTAGACTTTGGTCTTTGTTGTTCTTGTGTTGAGGACCTATTGTTGTGTTGCCATGAATAGTGCCTCTGTGCTGTCCTAAAGTCCTACCCTCTCTAGTCACTGATGTTTGTTGATATCAACCACTACCTCAATCTACTGGTGGTAAATGCTATGTAGGGGTTTGACTTTCCATGATAGTTCCTCTTGTTCTTCCTCTTCCTTCTGGCTTCTTTAAAGACAAACCTATTTGTGTCTGGATGTTTTTTTGCACTGTATTATCCATGCAGTTTGGTATGTATTTCTACATTTTGGTAGGTGAAATAATATTAAATTTCCTCTGTGTTTGAAATTCTAAATTATTACACTGTTCAGTTGTTGCTGTGAGCCTGAGTCAAACATTTATCTAAATACAAAAACTAGAAATGATGCATTTTATTTACCATTAAGTGACAAAGAAAATTAATGTAAACAATTTATCTATCAGTTAATGACTTATTTATGACAAAACAATACAATTTTACAAACTGAAATTAGTCAGATATTTTTGTAATGTTCACAACTTTGTTACACAAGCTTAAAGAGGACCAGTCAGGCAAATATATACAATACAGCTCACAAAGTTATATAAAAAAGCCATAACAAAATATAAAAAAATATCACTTCATAAAGTTGCAGCATTTGAAATCCAGTATTTCTGAAAAAAGTAATACATGCAAGCCTTTACATTTTCAGAAATTACAATTTAAATAAAAAAACAAGACAATTGCACTCATTTATACATTCATATAACTGATAAGAAAATAAAATGAAACAGATGAGCTTTATGGGGTCAGACGACCTGAACAAACAAACGAATAAAAAAATAAGTACAGCTGGAAATGAAATGAAATGAAATAATGGATTGAAAATGTAGGAATGAAAATAAATACATGAAAAATAAATGCAACTAAATGTATTTCATTATGAAATCAAATCTATGCTCTCAAACAGCGAGAAAGCTCTAATAGTAAAAAAAAATATCTGCCAGCCTTTTTTTCCTATAAAACAGAGTTATTTACATATTAAATAGGTTTTTAGTTTTCACAGAATGTGATCAAAATATGTCCAGAAAACACGTGTGAAAACGTGTTCTGATTTTTTTTCTTTTTATAGGCTATCAGATCATTTACAGCACATAGATACTGTGGACCAGGGGTCTCCAATCCTGGTCCTTGGGGGCAGAAACCCTGTTTTACTTGTTTCTCTGCTTCAGCTCACCTGATTTAGTGATCGAACTACTTCTTCAAGTTCTGCAGAAGCCTGATGCTAATCCTACATCCAAAACAGGTGTGTTGGAGCAGAGAAACCTGTAAAACATGCAGAATAGTGGTCCTCCAGGACCAGGAGAGGAGACCTCTGCTTTAGACAAATAGTAAATTAGCGTTCCTTCTTTCATAAAAAAAAACATTTTGAGTTAGGTTTTTTAAAAGAAATCAAAGTTTAAAACAAATGCCTTCTCATTTTGTATTTTTTGGTGTAGTTAGACCAAAGCTTACTGCTGTAGACAGCCTGATGTATCTACATCTCTCTCATGGTTTGTACCTTTTAATGATCTTTTTTTTTTTTTTTGTGTGTGTGTGTGTGTG